GGAGGACAGAAGACTTCAAGGTGGAGGTGGGACTACATCAAGGATCGGCCCTGAGCCCCTTCTTGTTTGCTTTGGTGATGGACAGATTGACAGATGAGGTCAGACAGGAGTCCCCATGGACTATGTTGTTTGCAGATGACATTGTGATCTGTAGTGAGAGTAGGCAGCAGCTAGAAGAGAACCTAGAGAGGTGGAGGTTTGCACTAGAAAGGCTAAGAGCTCCAGTCTAGACAAAGAGCTTCAAGGGCTGCATAACTACAGCGCTAACGTGATAACAACAGCTGGAAACTGTCAGTCTTTTTGGGGTAATTTGTGTCTTTTCCATCATCATGATTGTTGTCAGAATCCTGGTACTGCTGCGGGAAATTTGCTCTTGAGTGTGAGTTTCAACTGCTCTTCTCATCATAAACGTTTCTTATTTCCTTGACAGCATTGCTACCGCCTAACAGTGATTTGTTCTAACTTGTTACTTATTTACTCTGTTAAAGCAGGTACTTCATGAGAACACTGGGGCAAAGAAGTCCCAAAGTGCTTTTTTTGCCACCATGCAAACAATGGTGTCAAGAGCAGTCTTACTTTTTCCAAAAACATTTAAGGCATCACTGCCATTTCCTTATCTTTAATACTAATACAATACTACTAGCTACTTCAACCTTCTTGATTTAGCCAGAATGATGCAGATTTGGCAGCGCTCATTAGTACATAGAGTGACATGGTGGCTAAACTCTGATCACATCCTGTAGTGTTTGTATAACAAAGAAGAGCAGAAGGTTATGTTTAACCACACTTTTTTCTGATACTTACTCACCCTAAACTGGTAATTCAGCTTCATAACAAATATGCATTTTTATGTCTTACAGGCTGCAATAGTATTGTCCCATTCACCCTAAGTGTCCAAAACAACTGCTAGCTTTGACTCTAAATCAAACACTAAAACTTCCACACAGTAAATGATTTGTATCTCCTGTCTGAACTTCATTGGAGGTGGCAGCAGTTTCACCTTTCATCAGAGGTGAAAACTGGTAAACGCCTGCTGACTGAAACAACTCTACAGTGTGTATTCCCACTGAGGAAAATAAGACTATAAAAAAATACGGCGCAGTCCATGTTCACCTGACTAGATGTTGGAATAAATTCCCTTCGAGTTGTCTTATAGTCAATAAATGCAACTTGTCAGGCATTTGGTGTTGTCTTGCAGTCTCTTGGGTCCTTGACAGTGATACACTCTTTGATCAATTTCCTAAGAGGCTAAAGTTGTCACTGTGCAGCCCGTGTGTCTAACAGTAGCATCTTAGTGAAGTAAATATGATAGCAGGGGAGCAGAATGAGTCACAATAAAGTCTTATCTCCTATCTCCAGCTTTCACTTTCACTGTTGCATTGAGTTCCAATATTCCAAATGCCACTGAGTTGAAGTGCCTCTGTAAATGGGTTTATTTCTGGTCTGAGACCAAAAGACTGAAATGTAGCTAATTAAAAATTAAAAAGCACATTTGTCATAAATATTGGATTATATGCACAGATGAGGAAGAGCCCTGTGGTAGAGGAAGAAGGAATAAACCAGTCACATTCGCCTTCATAGCTGCTGAGATATTTTAGATATTTATTTAACTTCATCTTTTATCTGCATTTTTAGACAACTGTTCAGACTTGAACACGTGATCTATTTGCTGTAAGACAAGAGCTAAAACCACCCTTTCAATATGTCACAGGTAGACCAAATATTTATGGAAACTTAAACACATTCATATATTTTTTAACACCCAACCAATAATTAAAGTCATCTGTCCCTTATTCATCCAACAATGGGGGAAATTCACAGTGTTAGTCTTTGCAATTCACACAGGCTGCCTTGGGAGGTGCCATCAAGTATGGCAGGCGTGCTAACCGCTACACCATGGAACCATTATGGACTCATGGTATTTAGACCATTATAGTAAAAATGTCCTAATATAGAAGTTAATACAGTGGTATGAAAAAGTTTGGGCACCCCTGATCGTTTTCAAGATTTTCCTTTATGGATTATTGGTTGTTCGGAACAGCTATTTCAATTAAATATATCATATAGCAAACAAACAGTGATATTTAAGAAGTGAAATGAAGTTTATAGG